GAAAAATGCCCACTCCTGCCACCTACCACAAACATGATGCATTTTCTCTGGGGTAGGTCCCAAATCACTGCAGTTGAAATCTTGAGTGATGATGAGGGATGTGGTGGCTGTACCATCCTCAGAAAATCCTGCACTAAGCTTCTATCCTAAGAAAATAAAACCAGCATATGTCACCATGGACGGTGGAAGACTCCCAGAGAGAGCTGCTGTATCTCTAGCCCCACAGTTTGCTCTCACAGAGAGCCCTCCCTCCTTTAACCTGAAGTAATCGTGACATAATCCTGTGCTTTGTCTCCTGTAACTCCAATGAGACAGGGCTGGATCATTTGAATGAGATTTTTTCCTAAAGGGTCAGGAATAACAAAAGAGAACTACTTACATAACTAGATGGCATGGCTTCTCTGTCTAGTTTGTGGTCTATTTTAAGGACACTTCCTTTCATAGTTCCCAGCTGTCCATATGGTAGAGGTCTTTTTATTGGAAAAAGAGGAAGAAAGGAGATCCTTTTTCCCTTTGTCCTTTACCCTAGGAAATGGGCAGGTAATACAAAATAAATATTTACTGTCAGTAACATACAACAGTGTTAAGAGTCCTCTCTAATAAGACAAAAATAATGACATTCTTATAAAAAAAAAGAAATCAATGAACTTCTCTTTCAAATATGGGAAATAATTTATGATTATTCATATATGCTCGGGAATCTGTAAGATTTTTCATATAGGCCTATCATGAAGTATTTTTATTTGCATAATTAAAATGAATAGATGATTCTCCAAATATTTGTACAAGCAGCCTTTCTTAGGGTGAGATTGTTAAATATATATATCACTGGGGGCAGTGGCGTATACCTGTTATCCCAGCAGCTCAGGAGGTTGAGGCAGGAGGATCACAAGTTTAAAACCAGCCTCAGCAACTTAGTAAGGCCCTAAGCAACTTAGTGAGACCCGTCTCTAAATAAATAAAAGGGATGTGGATGTGTCTCAGTGGTTAAACACTTCTGGGTTCAATACCTGGTACCAAAAAAAAAAAAAAGAGTGTTAGATACCTACAGGAAACCCCCACACACACCTTGTGGAGTTTCCAGTTTATAATTCATTAACCAGGAGATAAAATGGAACTTTCTTATGTATACATATAGTGTTTGCCCCAATAAGAGGTGCCTATAAAGACTTATCATCAGCAATAACCTTCATTTTTTTAACTGTGAAAACTTGTGTTAATGTGAATAATAATCTCAAACATTTTGTGAAAAGTTAATCATCTGGTAAAGCATTTTACTTGAAATGTTTGTATATTGTAAAATTATTAAATGCACAGAATACGTAATGCGGGTTGGTTGGAAAACAAACTGGATTTGCCAAGAGAAGGAAAACTTGAAAATAAGCAAATATCTAAACAGTTGTTTCAAAGCCGTCATCAATTTCTTGAAAATAATTAGGGCTAATATATAGAAGCATATTCTCATTTTAAAATTTTTGATTGAATAGTTAAATGACTATGCATTATTGAAGTTAAAACTTATTTTATGTACTTTTCATGATGTTTCAGTGTATTGATAATATGGGTGTATCAGTTTATTTCAGTGCCTTAAAGTATTTTGAATGCAATATTTTGCTAATGGTTAAAGAACTGTTCTCTTAGGAATGAAATGCTGTCCGTTAAAAGGATCTATGAAGTACTTTACATTTGTTATAAAATAGCTACACATGGATGCATTTGTCATTTTTGTTTGAGTCATTTACTTTTGAGAATCAACAAAATATTAGGTGCCTTTGCTTTAACCAACATTGCTTTGATTTAATACCCAGAAATGTAAAAATGTGGTATTTTTAGTACCAACTTAATGGTTGTATTACTTTAAATCATCTTGTATCCTGAATTGAACTAGCATGAAGGCTTGTTAGTAGGAGTTTCTCCTTTATTCTTTCTCTTCCAAAGTAGAAACTAGGTTAAAAAAAAATAAAATTGCTCATTACACTAAATCATCAAATAGAATGGCTTATTCCATAGATTAATGTTTGGCTCTTTGTCATTTGTTTTACGTGTTTTTTTGTACAGGTAATTTGTGTTCATTATAGAAAATTATAAAATGCAGATATGCTAAAGTGGTCTTTAAATTTCCTGATCTTATTCAACCGATCAGAGAGAACCACTGATTCCGTTCTGGTGTGAATTCTTTCAGATGTGCTATGGTTGAATATTCTATGTGTTGAAGGCTTGGTCTGAAGCCTCCAGTGCTATTAGGAGGTGGTGGAACCCTCAGGAGGTAGGGCCTACTGGGAGGAACTTGGGTCACTGAGACATGCCTTTGAAGGGGATGTTGGTAGTCCCTTCCATTTCTCTCTTTACTTCCTGGCTGCTGTGAGGCGAGCAGCCTCTTCCACCACACTCTCCCACTCAGGCGCACTGCTTCACCACCGGACCCAAAAGCAACCATCAACTGACCATGAACTGAAACCTCCCCAAACCTTTCCTCTCTGTTGATTTATCTCACGTATTTGTTACAGTAACAGAAAGCTAACTGAACACAGTGTGTCAGTCTTTCCTTTTGTTTTAATTAAGAGGCACTTGCCTTGGTTATTTGGCTATTTTCTCTCTTGAAATCTAATTTGTCTTTTTAATTAAAAGTTGCATTACAGAAGCATACCATCACTTCAAGTAGAATAACAGCCATTAGGAAAAAATGCCGTCTAATTATATTTCTGTGCACAGGCTAGGGATGTAGCTCAATGGCAGAGCACTTTCGAGGGATGAACAAGGTCCTGGGTTCAATCCTCAGAACTTCAAAAAATAGATTATGTTTCTGTGCAGTAAAAATTGATTTTAACCTGCTTTCTTTCAAAATTGTGTTAGTACAGGATGGGATTGTGGCTCAGTGATAGAGCGCTTACTGAGCATGCGTGAGGCACTGGGTTCCATCCTAGCACCACACAAAAATAAACAAAGGTATTTTATCCATTTACAACTAAAAAAATTTTTAAAGTTTTTTTTTAAAAAATTGTGTTAGTACACACAAATAGTACAAGTACTGGGAATAAAGTCTTCCCAAACATGCAAAAACTGCATAATAAAAATTATGTATCTAAAAGTAGATTAGTCAAGCAGGTACAGTGGCATACACCTGTAATCCCAGCAGCGAGGCAGGAGGATCACAAGCAAATGATTCCTTAGCAGTGCAGCAAGACCCTCAGCAACTTAGCAAGTCTCTGCCTGAAGAACTGGCAATTTAGCTCAGTAGTAAAGCATGCTTTGGTTCAATCCTCGCTATCAAAGATGGGGTGAGGAGATTATTCAAGAAACTTCATCTTTAATTAATGTCTAATTTCCAAGGGATTAAAAATTTCACCTTTTTTTTTGTTGTTGTTCTGGGGGTCAAACCCAAGGGTGCTTTACCATCAAGCTACATCCTTTTAGTTTTCATTCTGAGACAGGGTCTCACTGAGTTTCTAGGGCTTCCCTAAATTGCTGAGGCTGACCTTGAACTTGAGAACATCCTGCTTCAACCTCCCAAGTAGCTGGGATTACAGGTGTGCACCACTGTGCCTGGCTAGCACTTCCACTTCAATGAAGCAAACAAATTATTTTTTTAGATTAAAAAACTGAGGCACAAAAAATGACTTGCTCTAGATAAGGTAATGCATCCTTTATTAGGTTTCGCTATGAAAGAAAATCCAAAATAGTTGCTTATAAAATAAAATTTATTTCCCATGCAAAATTCCAGAGAGCAGTAGGTCAGGGTGATAGGATAACTTCAGGAAATTATCAGACTCCCATATCATTCATTTGTAATCTCAGCACAAGTTGACTACTGGCCAGGCATGGTGGTACACACCTGTAATCTCAGTAACTCCTCACAAGTTCCAGGCCAGCCTCAGCAACTGTCTCAGTAAAAA